ATATATATATATATATATATTTCAGAAAAAAAATATTTTCTACAGCTTTTATTTCTGCATGTTTTAGTGAAGGACTATTCTCCCGGACTTAAATGACTTCTTTATCCTACTGACAGACCATTTTAGATTTTAACTGGAGAAATTGCATTTCCTGTGAAAATGCAGTGTGAATGCTTAATGCTGAAGAACTTGCTGAAAAACATGCTGAAGTTTAGGTGAAAAGGAAGAACAAGCCTAAATTAGCATAAGAAAGCAGAAAGAACACATATTTGCTGAATTAGGTTTAAATAAGCAGAAATGAGCACAGAAATTAGGAAATTGGCAAAAAAAGAAGCTGAAAGTAGCTGAAAAGTAGCTAAAAAGGCAGAAAGAAGCTTAACTACTAGACAGAAGTAGAACTGAAATGAACTAAAAATGTGGAAATAGCTGAAAAAGTTAAAATATAATACAGCTAAATAGAATGACTGAAACTAGCAGAAGTAAGCTGAATGGAGCATAACAAGCTGAAATTAGCATAAAGAAGTCCTCTAGACTGAAAGTAGCATAAGTTACCACAAAAATCTTGAACGTATCTGAAAACAAATGAAATGAGCTAAAAGATGCTGAAAGGTTAGAAAAAGCTGAAATTACCAGAAGAAAGCAGGAACACTTTTGCCCAATTAGACTGAAAGAAGTGGAAATGAGTGTAAAAATGTGGAAATTTTCTGGGGGAAATAAAGGGGGCAGAAATTAGCAACCAAAAAAATACAGTGGAAAAGTAGCTAAAAGAGCAGAAAGAAGCTTAAGTTACCAGAAGGAAGTGGAAAGAGCACATTTGTGCCCAAGTAAGCTAAAAGAAACAGAAATGAGCACAAAAAGTGGAAATTATCTGAAAAATCTGAAATTATTATTTTTTTGAAGCTAAAAAGGCAGAAAGAAACTTGCATTACCAGAAGGAAGTGGAGAGAGCACAATATTGACCAATTAGGTTGAAAGAAGCAGAAATGAGCACAAAAAAGTGGAAAATATCTGAAAACAAACAAAATAAGCAAAAAATAATAAAAATAAAAACAGTTGAAAAGTAGCTTAAAAGTAGAAATAAGCTAAAATTATCAAAATGAAGTGAAGAGACACATTTTATCTAAATTAGTCTGTAAAAGTTGAAATGAGCTAGAAAATGTAAAATTAGCTGAAAATGCTAATATGAGCAGGAAAACAGCTAAGTAGCTGAAATAGCAGAAAAAGATGAAACTAGCAGAAAAGGGCTGAAAGGAGCATAACAAGCTGAAATTAGCAGAAATATGTTAATTAGGCTGAAAGTAGCAGAAGTTACCACAAAAAAAAATTTGAATTTATCTGTAAACAGCTGAAATTAGCTAAGAAAAGGCTTGAAAGTTAGCTGAAAGGTTAACAAGCTTAAATTATCAGAAGAAAGCAGAAAGAACACATTTGCATAAATAGTCTGAAAGAAGCAGACATGAGTACAAAAAGCGGAAATTTTCTCAAAAAAGCTGAAATTATA